GCTGGGACAGCACACTAGCCATATCCAACCACTCCTACAACTGTTCTTCATATGTTTTAATCTCCAGGCCTTTAATCGTCTTATTAATCACTTTAATAATCCTTTCAAGACAGATCACACTAAAAATCTGGTGCCCTGTGGGTCAGTGCTACTGTTATTATAAATCTATAATAACAGAGCCTTGCAGGTCTGAATGCATTTCCTCCTTTCTCTTTTATCTGATTGGTGTTTTTCTCCTGTTCCTCCAGGCTCTTCTTTCTGCCCTCTAGAGATTTTGGCCTCCTAACATCTTCAGCCAACATAGGGTTTGTATTCCAATGCTTCTGGAGGGCCACAGGCTGCAGAAAGTTGTTTTAAGCTAGGAACTGGTTGAACGAACAAGCTAGGACAGGGGTCTCCAACCTTGGCAACTTTAAGACTGGAGGACTTCAACTCCCAAAGCTTTGCTGGCTGGGTAATTCTGGGAACTGAAGTCCTCCAGAGTTAAGGTTGCCAAAGTTGGAGACCCCTGAACTAGGAGATAGGAAATGCTCTGTTTGGCCCTCACGTGCACTACTTCAGTGATGGCTGCTTTAAATTGCTACTACTGTGGTTTTCTCCTGCATGTTTATAGGAAGCGTGTGGAACATTTGGAGCATTATTGATAGAATACGACAAGGTAGGCGAGGATTATCCCTGTCTAGGATTACCCTCCAGAACGATCCCAAACAGAAAGCTAGGCAGAAACGAGATTTTTTTCCCCTTCTAGCTTATGTTCCAGATCTCTGCTTGCAAAACAAAAACAAAACTCCAAACCCTTCTGCATGCATCCACATGAATGTAGGTCAGATTCTGCCAGCAAGAGTTCACACTTGTTGTAGGCTCAAGTGTTGGCTCCCTGGATCAAAGGAGAGAGGGCTGCCTCCACCCCTCCCTTTGTGGTTTGGATCAAGCTAAGTCAGGAAGAATCAGTTTGGTGTAACCGAAATGCGTAAGACATCAGGATAGAAACAATGCCACGAGTTCTAGTCCTGCCTTTAAGCACAATGGCCACCCAGGTGCCAGTCCCTCTCTCTCTCTCTCTCTCTGGGAAGTGGGCAATGGCAAACCCCTTTTGAAAATCCTTGCTGAGAAGAGCGCAGAGACACGTCAGGAGTCAACACTGACTCCAAGGCACAAAATAAATATTAAATTAAAAAATCCCAACATGACTGAATCTGAATCCAGAAACTAAGCTGAACATTAACCTTGGAAAAGGCAACATTGCCCACAAAGGAATGATAACAACCTGGTTCAGAAAGGATAGGATAAAAATACAGCTGGTCCTTCACTGATGACCACAACCGAGTCCAGAATTTTTGTTGCTAAGTGAGAGATGCGTTAAGGGAGCTTTGCCCCATTTTACCACAATTCTTGCCATGTTCGTTAAGTGAATCACTGCAGTTGTTAAACTAGCAGCACGGTTGTGATGTGAATCTGGCAGTCCCATTGACTTTGCTATAGTCAGAAGGTCGCACAAGGAAATGACACTGCAACCGTCATAAACGTGAATCCGTGGCTAAACACCTGAATGTAAGTCACGTGACCACAGGGGTGTTGCCTCAGTCATAAGTGTGAAAAATGATCACAAGTCACTTTTTCCCCCAGTGTTGTTGAAATGGCCACGAAATGAACTGTTCATAAGGCAAGGACTACCTGTAGTATGTACTGCACTGCACACAGTGCTCTGGTCTCCAAGAGGCATAAGAAAGAAAAGGCCAAGAAGACCATATTCCTGACAGAGTTAAGACGCCAAGACAGTTTACTTCTTCTTCTTTTTTTTCACTTAGTTCAAAAGATCCAGCAGTCTTTTATCCCTGCTTCCTGAGAAATAATTACGATTGTCACGGACACTGGGCTTTAAATGAGCGAAGTGACATCTCCAATTCTATGGCAAGCTAACCACCTGCAATCTGCAAACTGAAAATATAAAATATATGGTACTGGCACGTACAGTACCTGGGATTGCAATTCACATTATTTTAAAATGTGCATCAGGGATTTTTTTTCAACCTATACCTTGCAAATAATAATAATAATAAAATTGGGTCTTTGACTTGACAAAAAGCCAATCACCAATGAAAAATAATTGTAAAAGACTCTGGTAGAAAAAAAACAGTCGCTTTTTAGGAAATCTACTTGGGGAATCGAGTCCTGTAGTTCGTTTTACCCACTGCCTTGAATGGAATTTCCACACACCCCAAAAAATCACGCTGTTTCTCTTAACCCTTGCTTCGTTCTCACGTCAGCCGATATATTTAGAGACAGTTAATTATTTTTTCATATATTTAGAGACAGTTAATTATTTTTTCATCTCGATTGCGTGTTTCTTGGCACTTCGGGAGTGTTTTCTTTAAGCGCCAGTCAACAAAGGAGGAGAGGGAGCAAAACAAGAAGGCGTCTCCGCCAACACACACACACACACACACACACACACACCCATTTACTGTTAACTGTTTTGCTTGAAAGAGACAATTTATGCAGAAGGCGAGCAAGCAGCACGCGCGCCCTGAAGGCTGCGTTTCTCAACCGGACCAGCAAGGGGCGCTCGTAGTACGAAGCAATTCTGAGACAAGCTGAGGCTGAATTTTTTTTTTTTTTTTAAAGCGGAGCTCTGGAAGAAACGGGCAAGTTTTCCACCCTTCCCCAGCTACGGCAAAAGGAAGAACGAGCTTCTTCTGCAGGTTGTTTCATTACCCCACAATTGAAATACCAACGCCGGTTGAAGCGGTTCGGAGGCCGCTGGGCCGGCGGAGAGGCGAGAAGCGTGTTCTGCTTCCCTTCGCTCTTTTCCACCCCCCAAGGGAGGAAACCGGAGCTGGTGGTTTCGGCAAAAATCCCAATCCGTGGCGGGACACGCGAACAAAGTTTCCGCGAGGTCACCTACATGCTCTGGATCGGCGGGAGGGGGGCGGGGTGGAGGAGGGGGCAGGAGGAGCGCAGGGTAAGATCAAAAGGACCAACGCAGCGCTGCGATCCAAGCTCAGCCTGCTTTTTAAACGCGTTGTATCTTCGGTGGGGGCGGGGGGGGGGGGGGGGGGGGGGAAACGCGCAGGCGATGGAGCCAACGGGGGTGAGGGTGGAGCTGCCTCCAAAGCGGTGCGCGGGATCCGCCTCGGCTTCCTAGCACTACTCTGGATGAAGGAACTCGACTCGCTCCGAAACATCCCTACCGCATGGGTACCATTCGCAACACCTCGCCACCTTCCATCCTACTCCTGCTTTAAACGGCCCATTCGTGTTGATGTAATTTGTCCCCGCGTGGCCAAAAGGAACAGAACGAGGGCTAACGGGATCTCTCTTGTAATAGGGGTGTGTGTGTGTGCTTGGGACGGTTTGGCTTTGACAAACTGAGCTGTGGCTGATCGGGCAAGAGCCCCCAAACTTGTGCTGGCTGGAGAATTATGGGAGTTGAAATCCACAAGTCTTAAAGTTGCCAAGTTTGGAGACCTTTTGGTTAAGGGTCCAGAAAGACCCGGTTTGAGTTCAGGGGGGGTCTCAGCTCCCCTCTGAAGAAGTGAAATAGCGTGGAAACGACGTGGGAGGGGATACTCGATGCTGTGTTGAGTAAACCCGCTCCGTTCCTCAATGGGCTCTAGCTTTAAGCCCCATTCTTGCAGGTCAGCGTTCACAAGACCCGTCCGGAGCTCAAAAGGAAGCCAGCCAGCAGCTTCCCTCGTTCCCACCCACCTGTGAAGACGCGGTCGAGGCAATTGCAACAGAAGCTTGAACTCGGGTCTAATCACAACCTAGGGTGCCCCAGCAGAAATAATTGAAGCGCCCAACTTGGGGGAAAGAGCGACCGACCTTCGCTGGAAACTGGGCACAGAACCGCCCAGCATTGGATGCGCGAGGCCGTTTCTCGACTGGGCGGGGCTTAGCGGAATTGAGCGGGGGGGGGGGGGGGGACAGAACGCCCCAAATCCCCTTCGTTTGAGGATGCCCGGATTGGGTGAAAGGGTTTAATCTCTAGCCATCCTCGAGAGCCGAGGCTATTTCGGCCCTCTACATTTTTCATAGCCCTCTTAGACGCAGTTTTTCCTGCCACTTCAGGTCTGCAGGCCCCCAGGAACTTGGACGAGGTCCCTGACATTTCCCTCTCTCCCTCCCGTTTTTCTGGTCCTTCTTGATTAATTGGAGATTTCTGGATAACAGTTTATGGTTGGTGGTACGTAAAGGAGCAGCTAAAGAAAAGGTTCGTTTTATTACAATGCTTTTCAGACTTAGCAACTCGGGTGGGCTCTCCTAATTCTGGGAAGTCCTCTCCTCTTCGAGTTGCCAGGTTTTGAAAAACGACGGTGTGACTTACACCCCATGTTTCGTACAAGAACTCAAACTGGCATACCAGAACACATATCCCATTCTTCTACTTTTCCCCACAACAACCATCTGAGATGGATTGGGAAGTGAGAGAGAAAGAGACATAGAACAAGCACTTGGCCAAGCATCTAGGGAGGAGGGTGGACTGAACCTGGCCCTTCCAAGTCCTCCCTCCCTCCCTCCCTCCGTGTGTGTGCGTGCGCGCGTTGTGTGGATGTACTCGCAGCGGTGAAACGCAGCAGCCGTCCTTCTTTATCTCACAACTAACACCTTAGGGAGGCTAAATAAATGGAAAACTCAGCCAAAGCATTCTCCTGCTTCCAACTAGCAGTATCAAATCTCTGGCACCCCGCCCCCCTCCCTTCGGCATAAAGAGGAACACCTTGCCCTTTTACAGTAGTTGTTACTATTACTTTACTACTTGCCCCTTCTGTTAGAGCGAGATGCTTTCAAGGGTGATCTCAGTTTTTCCCTAGAGAACGGAGAGCGCGGAGGAGGACGCCACTCATCCCGGCAGGTGTGTCCGCTATCATCTTGTTCGTTTTAAACCAATCCTCGCGTTCCCTGCACCCCGGGCCAAGGTTGGCAGACCCGCCACGCCTGGGAGGATGCTGGTGGGGCGGGGGGGGGGGAGAGAAATGTCTCTCTCGCGCGCTGCTTACCGGCTTTGACAGAGCAGTGGATGTGCGCCTTGGACTCGTAGTAGACCCAGTCGAAGCCGGCCTCGACGGCCAGGCGAGCCAGCATGCCGTACTTGCTGCGGTCCCGATCCGAGGTGGTGATGTCCACTGCGCGGCCCTCGTAGTGCAGCGACTCCTCAGAGTGGTGGCCGTCCTCGTCCCAGCCCTCCGTGACGCGTAGCTTGACGCCCGGCCACTGGTTCATGACCGAGATGGCCAAAGCGTTCAGCTTGTCCTTGCAGCGCTGCCGGGAGCAAGCAGAGGAGAGGCGAGCGTGGCGGAGGGAGTCAGAACAGCCGGCGGCGCAGTGGGGTAGGGATGCTGGGTGGGGGGTGGGGATTGTCACGGCCGAGCTGGCCGGCCAGGGGAAGCGAAGTCCCACAGCGGGAGCCAGACCTGCGTTTCCCTCCCAGCTGAGATATTCCAATGGACCCCAAAGTGGGGACACACTTGTGGAGGGCTTCCAGCTCCCGATGGCAACCAGGTGGGTCATCTCAAGAGCTTTGCAGTCCAGAACAGATGGCCCTGACTTTCTCTCCTGCGTGGGCAATGACAATAGAACAATTTACTTCCCCTTTGTCTAAAGGGTTCTTAAGCCTCCCACCTGTATAAGCATACAAAGCTTGTAGGCCCCTGTCAGGCAGCTGATATTTTGCCCAAGTTTGAGCATCCTAAGGCAGGTTAGTTGCCACAGAGCCAAAAGTCTAGAATAGCTGAATTTTAGAGCACCTACCACCCTCCCAAACTTGGCACCTTTAAGAGATGGGAACTAGCTGGGGAATTCTGGGATCTAAAGTCTGGGATCTAAAGTCTTAAAGTTGCCAAGCTGGAAAAACACAGCTTTAGATAATTTGTTTACTTGTGAGATTTGAGTAGAACTCCCTGTGCATTTTGCCCTTTACTAAGGATGGAATGCAAAAAGTGGGTAGGTGGGAGATGAGCAAGAAGGTCACCAGAGATACACAAGCTCTGGAAGAAACTGAAGCAAACCTTTCCCCCCACCCCACTCCACAGGGACCTTCTGATATTTGTTCTACAAAGCCTTCTCTCTTGGACACCAAGCTCTACTGGCTGAGATGATGGAGGTTCTTGAATAAGCTGTGCTTCTGTGCCCACGTAAGTGAAGCCAGATCTGGGAAGATATGCCTCTATCAGGTTGCTCAATCTTGATATGCTACCACATCGACTGTCTTGGAGTGGACCTTCATCCTAAGACCCAAAGTTGAACCTTGGAGAAACTCCTGCTTTGTGGGTAGAAGGTGGGGAGCAAAGGGAGACCCAGTTCCAAGAATGACTCTCCAAGGGCTCCCCCAGAGTCACCCCAGTCCAAAACTGGATGCAACAGCCCACAAATATCTCTGGCCAACCTGCCTTCTGAAGTCAATTTGACAGAACTCCAACTTTACCAGTTATCAAATCATCTGTCCAGTTTAGCTGAGAAGAGGCCGGAAGACAATCAATCCAAGGTCATTATGTGTCCTAGAAAATATTTAAATAGTTTCGTATATTGCCCAGAACCCACTGGAGTTGAGAAGCCAATAAAATAAAATAAATAATAGATTAACTATTTTAGGAGAGAGAGGTTGACTGGATCCTGTCAGGATTAGAGCAGAACCATTGATAGCTAGGCTGGGGATTTAAGTTTCCTACAGTTAATGTCTCTGTCTAGTTAATTTTGGTGGGCTTATTCAAGGACAAGACTTGGAATCAAGCCTTTCCCTTGGCAGGACATGGGCTATGGTTGGAAGTCTTACTTCCTTGGTGGAAAATGACTGTTGAACATCCACTGAACTAGTTTCCTTCCCAGATAAATGAAAGATAGTTGGCATTGACTGAATTTGCCAAACACTTTTAAGGATGATGATTCAGTAGTTGCATTCACAAGCATGCGTAACTTGGTTAGTTTTAGCTTGAATGTGTAACTTGTTTAGTTTTAGCTTGAATGGGAGGGGAGGTAATATATTTGCTAAATCAGACTACTTGATTAGCTTGATGGTTGAATGGTCTAAACTCCCCAAATAGATTAATTGAATAGACTTGGATCTTTGGGAGTGGGGCAACATGCAAGGTTAATAATAAATAAATTCTATTTCACTTAATGTAATTAACAAATATAGACTGACTGTGAAAAGATGCAAGTTAGTAAGATAAAGCGTTCCTAGCCTGAGAAGTAAACCATCCACCTGTTTGACTAATGGGGCTTACTCCATAAGAATTTAGATATTCACATTTGGCTTCACATGTCATATTCTTGAGTGACTTCTATCCAGGAATCATCTTAAAATGAATGGGGAAGAAGATATGGGAAGAAGACTTAAGGTATCCTTCTTAGATCCTGCATCAGCTGGAAGCATCTATTTTGCTTTATAAAAGAACCAAAGAGGAAAAAAATGGGCCAAATTTGGAGATTGCAAAAACTGCTTCAAGGTATGAAAACATATGGATCTAGATAAACACAAGTTATTTGTATGCACAGAAAAATAAGGTTAAATTCTTAAGTTTTGTACCTGAATGAAGTTTCTCTCATTTCAGCAAGCAAACACATACACATAGAAACACATCCCCCCCCACACACATACACCCGCAAAAAAAAACTGTTTTTGTATGATTCCTGGACAAGACTGTTCCGTTTTCTTGGCAAGGTTTTTAAAAGTGGTTTGCCATTCCCTCTTTCCCTAGGGCTGAGAGAAAGTGACTGGCCTAGGGTCACCAGACTGGCTTTGCATCTAAGGCAAGACCAGAACTCAATCTCTTATTTTCTATCTCAATGCCTTAACCATTACATCAAATTGGTTCTGATCACCCTATTCACAATCTGAGAAAATGTAATTCAGGAACAGTTTTCCTACTTAAAATTTTGCTGGCCTAACAATAGTCTGTGATTTTGCACCAATCCAATCCTTAGGCTCTTGTAAATCTCATCCATCCAGGATGGATGTTCCCCAATATATAATTCATTAATTATTATTTGTGAATAGATAAGATGTTTCACTTCTTCCTCTGGTCTGGCCCTGTTAATACTTGTTTGAGCTTCTACTATCTGTAGCTAGGGGCTGTATTGGGATTCCATGACCCTAGAAACTAAAGTCATTAGCAACTTGGCCATAAATTCCCACAGACTGTGGATTCAATGGAGAAGGAAGCAAGGGGGACCTTGGTGTATCCTACTAGTAATCTCCTAGCATTTTCTCCCCAAAGGCCAGCCTTCAAAACTTTTAAGCGAGGCCGATTTCTAAGCAAGTGGCCTCTGAAAGTAAACAATCCTTTCCAAACCAATGTTCATTTATCTCAAACTCCATGAATTAGTCTTTTAAAGCTAGGGACAACATCTTTCTGGAAGCACCCACAAAAGCAAATAAAAGACAGGTCAATGTTCTATTGCATTATAATAATAATAAAAAAAAGGATTTCTGGGAGAAAAAAATAACTAAGAGGAGGTGGAGTTGTAGAGCTTTGCAGTTTTGTTGCAAAGCATAAATAGGCCTCTAAGATTGTAGCAACTATAGAACAAGCTTTTCCAGAGGCCAATGACTTTACACTTGGCAATTTCTTGGACTTTCTCCCAGGAATACCTTTTGCCATTTCACCTCTCCAGCAAGAAGTATAAGCCAGCAAGGCAATTTTTTCCCCCCAGAGTCAACATCAGCAACATTGTCCTTTAAGACCAACTCGGGGCGAATTTGGCACTCTTTTATTAGCCTTTTATATATTTTCTTCCATATGAAGTTTAGCCCCGTAAAACTCAATGGAGTTTACTTTGGTATAAACCCAAGTGGGATTGCTTTGCAAAAGGGGAGAAATTGCCTAATTCCACACACCCTCACTCCAATTTTCTCTTTTCTAAAAGAATAATTTCCAAATGCCTGGGCATTCTGGAACTTGCATCTATGGAGATTCTCAGCCATCCAGGCCATAGTTGTCCCAAAGGTGGTTTTCTAAGAGAAAGACCTCTTGAAAAACCACTTCTGGAACTTGTAGTTGCCATCTTATTGAGTGAAGGTTGGCAAAGAGAGATACACCTCAACAGTTTTAGAAATCGCTGCTGCGGATAACTGCTTTAAGAGTGACATCTTTGTGGGAGGTGGGCGGGGGGGGGGCAGATTTAAGAAATAATCGTCGTCTTCGTTTATGTCAGAAGGCTGCTGCTGGGGAGGCGAATGCGTAAAAAGCACACCAACTCGGTGGGCAGGTTAAGCGGAAACACGAGTGGGTTTTTCCTACCCCTTCACCGCACCAACAGTAGATCCAGGATCTCTGCCGACCGGATGGAACTGCGCTTCTTCCGTGAGCGTCCAAAAGAGCCGAAAGATCTGGGGCTACGAAGAATCCGACGCCGGTTGCCCAAGGCGCGCGGCTGGACTGGAGGAAGAGCCAGCGGAGCTCAGCCGGTTCGGGGTTCTCGAGCACGCGGAGGGGACTTCGCCGGCGAGGAGAGGGGAAGGAAAGATCTACAGAGCCGGCTACAAAGACGGCAGCACTGAGCACCTTTGGCTTCCATCACTCCTCTAAGACATCTTATCTGCCCGGTCCTTTCTTTTTGCAGAACGGCTCGGGCAGAAAAGGGCCGAGTTGGGGGGGTGGGGGCTGGCTAACTGACCTAAGTATGCAGGTTACTCCTACCTTCTCCCGCCTCGGCGCTTTTCGCTTTCTTTTCCCCTTTGCTGAGAAGGAAGGCGGCACGCGTAGGGTATCTCTTCAGGAATAAATCCTATCGGGTGCAGCCTCGGCCTCCTTGATTGAGCGGGACTCCCCTGCTCCCCCCCCCCCGCATTCAAGCCCCGAAACATGCTAAGGGAACATTAACGGACTTCTACTGCAGCGGGCTGAGAAAGGGCTCGTTTTTCCCCCCAGACGAATCGCAGCTCTGGTCTGGCACCCTTATGTCCCCCATAGATCTAGTCGGAGTAGGGCACGGGAGGCGGGGGAGGGGGGCAGCTAGAAGGCCGCCGTCACCTGCCAGGAGAAATTCCTCCCCCCCCCTGCAGCTGTCAGGTTTTGCCTCTTTCTCCTCCCCTCCTCTAGTTAATATTAACTGGTGGCGGTGGCTGGTTGGAAAGGTGAACGCTTCTCTGCCGAAGAGGCTTCCCCTCCCCTCTCGGCCCCGCCCCAGGAGGGAGACCGCCGTGTCCAAGCTGCCTGGCCGGGTCAAGGCGGAGACCCGGGGGCGCCCAGGTGCATTTCCGCCGCCAAGCGGCGTTCTCTGTTAGCGAATCTGCCCACTACTTCGGGCGCTGAGGGCCGCCGCGGAGGGTAGCAGACTCGCTTCTTTTCCTGCCTTCATGCCCAGCCTCCACGAGCATCCCCTTGCCCCAGCGCACGTCCCCTAAAATCTGCCCCGGAGCCCGCTCTTTGCTCCCGAGCGAAAGCTATTTTTCCGCCCTCGCCAGAGCGCGCCCTGGTCGGCCGAAGAATCCGGAAAGGAGTGAGGCGAGGCGCGATGGCGGAAGCTCCCGGGAGTGCGTCTAGCGTGGCGGGGCTGGGGCGCGGTGTTTGCTGCGTCTGAGGGAAGTTGGCGGAAGGTCAGAAGTTCAGAGACTTCAGCGAAGGCTGCCAAGGAGGCCGGCCACGAAGAAGCAGGGGAGTGGGGAGTTCTGCTTTGCAGGTGCCTCGATCCACCTAACAAGGGAGCTCCAGGGCGCGTGGGAAGCGCGCGTGGGGGCGGGGAAGAACAGGAAAGGCGGCGGTCAGAGGGGGCTACGCTTCCCGATCCTCTCCGTTGCCTCTCTACTCCCCACCCTCGACCCCACGAATCCAGCCACTTGTTCCAAATTTACCTCCCTTCCAGACACATCTTCTCCTTTCCTTCCCAGGCCGTCCAGATTACACTCCCATCATCCCCCAACTCACTAGCGCTGGCGTAAAAATCCCGTACACCTGGAGGAGCTTCCAGACGGATTCTCCGGGAGTAGGACCCGCCCAGGTGCATTTCCTTTGCTCTTCTCAGGATGTCGGAGGGGCACGAAGGAAAGTGACCTGCACCGGCAGAGTCAGGCGCGCGGGCGCACAAGACCCCTTGCCGCGCATAGTGGCGGCGGTGGCGGCTGGCAACGTTTTTCCTGTGGCTTCCGCGTCACTGCCAGACCCGCCAGGAGTCCCCAGCCTCTCCGGCCTCCTGTAGCCAGGCTCCAGGGTGAAACCCGAGCCCTGGCGATCGATCAGAGAGGAGTAAGTGGAGCCGAAAACGCGAGATGCGTTTGACTTGCAGCCGCACAGCTAGCCCGGCTCGCGCGTCTTTGAAGATGGGGGGTGGGGAGGGGGGAGCAGGGGCAGGACGCAGCCAAAAGGAAGCCAGGAGGGCGCGAACGCCACCCGGGAGCTTGAAGATTCCCCAGGGGCGCTGGTCCCACCGTCGCCTCGCCTCGCCTTCTGACGAGCGCCTTCTGCTCTCGGGGGGCCTTTGCTTTCCTGGAGGCAGCGCTGTCGCGGCCTCGGCAGCTGTTGGAACTCGCGTCGCGCACGGCTTCCAAACCTTCCCAGGTCCCGTGAAATTTAAGGTGGTCAGACGGAGATGGCGGGCGGGTGCGCTTCCCGTAGCCCCAAGCCAACTCCTCGCCAAACTGCAGCGAGCAAAGGGCGCCGCCGCCCCTCCGCCTTTCCAGGGGCGACTCGGGCGGAATTGAGCTAGCTACTCTGGTGCTGAAAGTGGGGCTTAAACCTCAGGATCGCGGGAGGGGGCGGGGAAGGAAAGGGCGCTCCCTCAGTTTCGGAAGGGGACGCAACCGACGGCAGTCGCCCGAGGCTGGCAGCGTGGTGGAGAATTTGAAGAGCCGCCCGAACTCTGGAGGTGGAGCGGAGCCTGATTCGCAGAGTTCCGCCTGACCGAATCAGCTCTCGGTCGTTATTCGCTTGGAATAGGTGATCGAGGGACTGAGGGTGGGCGCCTATTTTTAGCCCTCGTCCTCTGAGGTCGTGAGAGCTGGGCGCGCAACCCGCGATCTTCCATCCCGGGTTTGCTGTGCTGATTAAGTTTCTCGTCTTTCCCCCTCGGGTGGTTTCACCGGTCTAGGGCGGAGGGGAGGAAGCGTGAGCATCTTTGAAGGCGATCAATGCGCTCTCAGACACATTTGCCAAAGAGAGCCCAGCGGATGCCGCCTTTGACGATTATTATTATTATTACTGTTATTACCCTGCTCCTTGGACTTCAGAATCGCCCGCGGCAGATGCCATCCTCGAGGCGACGGGGAAAGAGGGTTAATCTAAACCAACCTGGTTAGGAAGAGAGAGAAGCGGAGGCGGGCGACTTCGGTCTCCGAAGGGAAAGGCAGAATCCCCGTGGGGGTAGATCGGTGGTGGGGTGGGAGGCTAACACGAGCAGCAGGCAAAGCCGCCAGCTAACCAAATCGGCGGGGCAGGGAGCGGCCGAGCGCAGCCCTGCCTGCAACTACCAGGCTGCCATAATTCACACGCGGAGCTTCCTCCCTCCGAGGAGGAAGGTCGCGGCAACAGACCTGCTATCCCCAAAGGGCTCTCCCCCACCCCATCGGCGCACCCCTTCCCCCGACAGCTCCTGGGGACCGGGGTCGCCGACGCCCGGGGAAGCTGAGAGCCCCGGAGGGAGGCGATGCTGCCGGATTACAGCCCTCTCCCCCTCCCCAGGCCGGAAGGCGAGCAGGTCGGCAAGAGGCGAAGGGCGCGTCTCTGACCTGGGTCATCAGCCGGTCGGCTCCCGTGTTCTCCTCGTCCTTAAAAATAATGTCCGGATTATAATTGGGGGTCAGCTCTTTAAAGCGCTCCGAGTTCCGAGTGATCTTGCCCTCGTATCTGCCGCTGGCGCCCAGCGTCTTCTCGGCCACGTTGGGGATGAACTGCTTGTAGGCTAAAGGGGTCAGTTTCTTCGGGTGTCTCCTCTTGCCGAAACCCCGGCCCGGCCCGCAAGCTAGCCCGGCGGAGAGGAAAAGCGCGCCTAGGCAGAGCGGGAGGAGCCCAGTTCTTCTCAGGAGCAGCATGCCGTCCACGGAGCAAGCGGCCCCCTTCGGCTTCCCCCCTCGCCGCCCCCTGCGCTCTACCGGGCTTGTGGCTCGGGTGGGTGCGTGTGAGTGTCAGAGAGCGCGCCCGCTGCTGCCTTTCTCGCCCGGGAGTTGCCCTCTTCCCTCGGCTCCTGGCTTCTCCCTTCCTTGTCTCCTGCCGCCTGCCTGCCCGCCCGCCCGCCTCCTCTCCTCTCCTCTCCTCTCTCCTCTCCTCTCGGTGACTTAGCCCCCGATCTCTAGCAAAGCAGGTGCATCTTGGAGGACGCTTGCGATAACGGGACTCATCGGAGTTCAGGATCGTGGCGCGAAGAAGGCAGGAGGGGACTGCGGGCGGGGAGCGGGAAGGGGTCGGGGGGGTGGGGGAAAAAGAGACGATGGAAACGGAACGAAATAATAAAAAGACTGGGAATCTATCTAATGGGAGCTGCAACGCCTGTGAGTGAAGACTGGCTCTAGTTCTATATTATAGCTGCCAGTGCCGAGTCCTGATTGGTCGAGGCGGAAGCTGCTCGCCTTCCGATGTATTAACCCTGAA